GGCTGTCCGCGCATAAAGCCTAACATTATTTTATTTACGCTATTAGCGGAATATCCATGTTACAAACCAACTCCCATATGATTAAATTACAAGTTAGATTTAATAACTCAACCTTCTTTCAATTCAGAGAGTCTAACTTAGCTGTATAAATTTCCTCGAAACAGTTTTATTCGGGCACATAAGTGAACAGCTCTGCAGTTGGGGTCCTGCGAGAAACAGGAAGATAAGGTAAACACCGAGCTGGATTAGAAAAACTTCGGCTAAACCTGATTATAACGATTATTTTAAAACATTTAATGTGTTTTTCTCCTTTAAATGAAGTAATTAAACATATTATCGAAAGCTGGTGTGTTTAAATGAGGTTAACAGATAATTAGTGGCTGTTGTGTTACGTCCGAGCATCGCGGAGGACCAGACTACAATAAAAAAAATGTGCAATTTTATCCCTGGTATTTAAAACTTTACAGTAAAAAGAATACCCACGGGACAGAAAGTAATGTTAACACTTTTTATGTCGTGGAGGAGTTCCTCTTTGATTCGGCATACCCCGAGCCACCGAGTGATCATCGTGGATGTCTGTTAACTGATTTGTGATCGGCTGTGTTGCAGATGACGGTTCATAACTTGTACATATTTGACCGCAATGGAAACTGTTTGTATTACAACGAGTGGAACCGCAAGAAGCAGGCGGGCATCTCCAAGGAGGAGGTGAGCCTCGAAACCAATCAGCAATCAATAAACCAGACGCAGAGAGTGTGTGAAGGAAAGGTGTGTTTATGTGTGTGTGCAGGAGTTCAAGCTGATGTACGGGATGCTCTTCTCCATCCGCTCCTTCGTCAGCAAGATGTCTCCTCTGGACATGTATCCTTAACATCACCTGTCAATATGTCCTCCTGATAGTCTGTCTGTCCTCCCGTCTGTGGTCCTTATCCGTGCTCAGGAAGGAGGGCTTCCTGTCCTTCCAGACCAGTAAGTATCGTCTCCATTACTACGAGACACCGAGCGGCCTGAAGTTCGTCTTGAACACCGACCTGTCAGTGACCAACGCCAGGGACACACTGCAGCACATCTACAGCAATGTGAGACACACACACACACCTATGAGTGGGTTCCTCTATAGAACCAGCTGAACTGCAGCTTTTTAAAGTGTATTGAACAAATCAATCAAATCAAATCAATTTATTTATATAGCACTTTTCACAGGATAAAAACCACAAAGTCACACTAATATAAAACAGAAATACATAAAATACATTAATAATAAAACACAGCACAAATCTAATTAAAAGCCAATCTAAATGAGTCTTAAGTTGCTTTTTAAAAGAATAAATACAATCAAGGCAACGTAATGATGTAGAGAGAGCATTCCACAGCCTGAGGGCCACTGCTCTAAAGATCTATCTCCTCTGGTCTTAAAACGAGTTCGTGGGACTACCAACAGCCTTTGATTAGATGATCTCAGGCTGCGAGAGGGAGCGTGG